ACACAAACACCTGTCCGAAGACCGGTTAGGGGCCCGGGGGGGGGCGGGGGGGGCGGGGCGCGGGTCATGGAGGTGAGGGGGTGAAGGCAAGGAGGTGCCTCGAGGATAAGGAACAACGGCAGACGTACGCCCTCCCCCGGGGGGGGGGCGGAAACATCTTCTAGGGTCTCTCCGCCCCTCCTCTACCCGGCAGCTCTCCCCCCTTCCCCCTCCTCCCCCCGGGGGTCGGTCGGTCGCGCGTTTTTTGGGGGGTTTGGGAGGAGCACTTGCATACCAACAGCTTTTCATTACCAGCAAATCAGCCAGTTCTCCAGGCCAGCAGCAAACTTTATTCCAGCTATACGACAGCAGTTCTTTACTACTTCTCCGCCGCCTCTACACCTACTTTTCTACACCTACTTCTTTACGGCTTGGCATTACTGCTTTTCTTCTGCGCTTATTTTAGTCTTGGCGGCTAGGTAGGTAGTTTTTCCGACATCATCTTCACTACGTCATCCCGAGAGGTCGCCGCATCTTCAAGAACGCCTTTTGGTCAGTTCTACGTCTGGTACACTCTTGCCCTGACAGCAGCTTCACTCATTCGTGGTTCGTCTTTCCCCCCTTTCCTCTCTTCTCCCCTCCACATCAACCACTACAACACCACAACCAGTAGTAACATCGCCGCAGTGCCGCCTGACGACGACAGAGCTCATTTGAGCCGACACACATTCCCACATTGGTGGTGGACCGCGAGTGGTCCGGGTTTGTCCGTAGGTCTCCTAGGTCTCCCCCCCCCCCGGGGGGCAACCGGGAGCCACGTAACCCCGACAGCGCCCCCTCCCTCCCTCCCCTCCGTCGCCCCTTCCCTCCTCCCCCCTCCGTCGCCCCCCAGCTATCATGACCTTGCGGTAATAGGCCTCAGCCGGCCAGTGCCAGTGCCAGCCGGCCACTCACTCTTGCATCTGTGAGCTTGTATAGTTGGTACGACTTAAGTATGAGACCTCTTTTCCGTTTCGAAAAGGCCTGCCGCTTTTGATCGGAGCCCTGTACCGGAACCGAAATCGGGGGGGAGGGGAGGGGGAGACGGAACAAAAGAGGCGAGGTGAAGTGGAGGGTGGGGCTGTAGGGGAAATGCGGGGGGGGGATGAGGGGGTTGCGAAAGGGCGGGGGTTGCGAGTAATAGTTATGCGAGTCAAAAAAGGTGAAAATCGTGCACTGTTTTGCGTTGCCGTGGCCGCTTTTTTTATCGTTCGCTCATCATAAATACAAAATAATCCGCTGCTACTGCTGCTACTACTGCAGGGCACGAGGGGCAGGAGGGAAGGGGAGCCCCTAGGAGCCTGGAAGACGATTTGGTGGTCATATGATTATACGCCGCTAGGTCGGAAGGTGTTCCCCTTCCCCTGGGCTGACTCTGACTATTCCCTCTTTGTTCCCTGCGGGCGGGCAACACAGCCAGTCCAGAGCGCAAACGGAATCCTGCACCATTGGAATGTTCTGAATACCCCTATCCACACGAAAAGAGTCTGGGCGTAAAGGCCAGGCTCCCCGGTCATGGCTCGGGAGCCAGGAACACTTACCTCGGGCTTCTCGCTAGCTTTGCGCCGCGACTTCCCTTTGTTTTTAAAAGCAATCTTTCCCTTGGCTCCCTCCGATTCGTCTTCTGTCTCGGAGCCCTCTGCGTCGTCCATCTCCTCCTGAGGCTGCTGGTCGAACGAAGAGCAGTGAAAACCATTTAGCTCTGCCAGTCGAACATGGGCAATGCTTTGGCTGGAATCCTGGGTAATATGCTCAGTCAGGAGCTGAGCGCTCCTTGATATCTGAATTTGGAGCCGCAAGAGCAGAATGAAGACAAAAAATTGCGCTTTGGAGAAGCAATCACATACAGCTGGTACGACCTGCATATTTACGAATTCGGGCTATGTTACCTGTCCAGGTTCGTCATCACGGCGAGCCATAGAGCAGGGGCGCCCAGCAGCACCGCCTGTTTAGGCGAGACTTCACGGGCGCCGGATGACAGGGATCGGCCCTTGTGAGATGTGCCTTGGAAAAGAATCAAACAATAGAACTCTTGCTACAAACTATCACTTCCTCATCGGGCGAACGACTTGTTCTTCAGTGCCAGCGCTGACTGCCGCAACGTCCCAACAAAATAGTTCAGGCACGGAACAAAATGTCCTAATGCATCAGTCTAAGAGAATAAGAAAGTGGAAGTAAGAATCTAATTGCTTTGTCAAAATGCATGTACGGGCTGTACGGGCTTAAGACGTCGTTTTTTGGCAACCCCCTCCGCAGTGGCAGTACTTGAGAAGGCGACTAACCTACTGCTCCTGAGCACCATTCTCCCTACAGAGTTGTTGCATAAATTTCTCTTAGCAAAGTTGTAGAGGTTTGTAACCCGCAGTCCTTGGTCCCACAAGCATTGCTTAGCCCCACAGTTCATATATTTGGACAATGTTTCTACTTTTTTAATTTCGTCTCTGCGGTAACAGCGGAATTCGTCAATGCTTTGAGATTTTTCATGTCGAAGTTACGTGGTCGCACAGAAATAACGACAGCTCGCGAGCGATCGCTAGTTTATATTTACGATTCGATTCTGTGAAAAAGCATAGATATATATTTGGGTGTGCTGCGGCCCATATTTATATTTCTGTTGCAGTCTTGCCCTGTCGTCCGTTCAAACAAATGACACGGTACGATATCTGGAGCAAGCTAAAGCTTGCAACAGCGAACGTATAGAAATACAAACGAAGGCCTGGTTTGGCATGGAGCCCTTTGGTGTTGGTGATATATAATAACGGCTCGTCCTTCCAGTAATGCGAAATAATAATGCGCAAAAATATCTTGGGACCCCCCATTAGGATCCGTGGCTCTTCCAGTCACGTGCCACCTAGCAGTCGTGGCTGGAATGGGCCGATCGACCTTGATTTTTGTCAGGCGTTTTAAGGACCCTGTTTACAGGCCGATCCCATGTAGCCTCCTAACATGCGCTACTTGGTAGTTTGAAGGCAGTAAAATTTCAAGACGTGACTCAGCTTACAGGAGGACTGAGGACTAAGCGGGGATTGTTCCTACGCCGGGCCTATGAGAGTGTGATGCCTTTTGAGGCGCCAAAATGTACGACATTTTTCGTCGCGCTTGTTTGCTCATCGCAGCGCGAGCAAATGCCATCGTGCAGCGCCGTACCCGAATCGAATCTGACAAATTTGAAAACCATTATTCATTTCAAAAGCCCTCCAAGCGCTGCATAAACGACGTCAAAGAAGCCTATTTGAGCCCAGCGAGCCTGAGTCAGTCCTAGGAAGGGCAGGATTAAACTTTAAATTATCCTCTTGTCTTTCCCACGCATAAGCAAAAGAACGTGCTCGATTTCCTTGAAACTCTGGGGCATGCGCGCGATCCTTCGACTTTGTTTATTCTGTTCTCCGAAGGCTTAAACGCGATGTGAAGTCGCAGTTTTCATAAATACATCGAATGTCGGTTCAACCCCAAGGAAAATGCCTTAGCGACAAAGCACCGCCAAAAATGCAAGCGCACCGCCAAAAATGGTCCATGAAAGCGGATCCGATATGTGTGCATGTCCCCTCGGTAAAACGGCATATGCCCTCACCCGCAAGGACGCACCATGCCAGCATCCGCCCCTCTCCCCCTCCGCCCATCTCTCCTTTGCCCTCGCCGCTTGATGCCCAGCTCGCATCTTTGCGGTGTCGAGCTTTTTGTTTTCGCTACTCCTCTCCGCTCCTCACCCTTTTCCCCCCCTTCCTTCCCCCTCCATTAGCGCTTCCGGAAAATGGAAAAATCTCCTTCTCCCTTCGCCGCGATCGCCGTCATTGTGCCTCCGTGGTCCCTTATCGTGTGTCCTTAGCACCCGCGCTCGCGCGCGTGTGTGTGTATATATGTGTGTGTGTACGTATGTGTATGTGTGCGTACGTGTGTGTATTTAGTGAGCTGAGCCGCGGGAAGTAACGGTTGAAGGGGTCGCTCGAATGTGTCTGTATGTGTGTCTTGACGCGACGCGATAGTCTGTCTCATCGCGTCTGTCTCATGCCACGTCATCGCGCCCGCTCCAGCAGCGGTCCCAACTCGCCGCGGGCCGCCATCAGCTTGAGCAGATGGAAAAGGAAGGGCACGTAGTTGTGTCTGCGCCGTACGTTTTCGTCGTGCCAGGCGCGGTGCTTGGCTTCCTCGGCCGCCAGAGCTTCCTGCAGGCTGCGAGTGTTGGGGAAGGGGAGGGGGGCCAGGTCACGGGGGAGGGGGGAGGGGACACCAGGGGTTGACCGGGCGGGCGACGGCTGCCGTATATCCGGAGGCTACCACATGTAATCGTACGGTACGGCGGAAAACTTACGGCACATTAACAGGTAAATATACGTACACTGGACTGTAGCGACGAGCAAGAAGACAGGGGCCATGCCCATGCTGCGAACAATACCAATTACACGAAATATGCACACTCACATACATACATACATACACACTGGCGACCCCCGTACTCCCCCGCCCCCTCCCCCCCCCAAGGCCACCTACTTGGCCACCTCGGTCTCAGTCTCCAGCAGTTGGACCTGGAGCTGCGGTTGGGGGTGGGGGGTGGTTGTGTGTTAGGTGGGGCGGCGGGTTGGAATGGTGTGTGTCGCAAAACCCAATGCAGATGACATGACCTGGATCTGGGGTGGGTGGTGGACGGTGGTGGTGCGATAGACACCCTGATGAGTGATGGGACGTCACGTGGCGCACTCTCCCCCCGCCCGCCTTTCCTTCCGCCCCCCGCCTTTTTCCAAACCGGGGTAACGGCCGCGGGTGTATTAGACCGCACGGTGATGCCGGATGGTCAAACTCTACAGGCAGGCCACCATCGACAGATGGAAAAAAGAAAGGAAAGGAAAGGAAAGAAAACAGAGCCAAGGGGAGATGAGGCCCCTGAACGCCTACCCCTCCCCCTCTTTCCCCAGGCCCCCCCCCCAAGGCACCCCTCCCTCCCTCCCTCCCTCCCTCCCTCTTCACCTGCGCCACAGCCGTCGCATCCCCATCCCCGCCACCCTGCAGAAGGGGCAAACACACGGACGGTACGACAACAAGTTGGAGATCGGTACGACAGCATGGAGGTATGACTATAAAAGTGAAGTCCTCGAGAGTTTATAGTTCCCCGCGCACCTCCACTGTCCTCTAAGAGCGGAGCTCACAATATCATCCATCCAACCTGCGCCCCGCTGTGCTTTATCACCTACCCACATATCACATGACATCTTTTTTACTCCTGTCATACATACAGATTTCTCTCTCCCTTTTCCTTCCTCACCTCCCCTCCCCCTCTAACCTCTCCCGCAATGGACCACTTCCCCCCTCTCTCTTCACATCCCCCCCAGCCCCCCCTCTACCCAAACCGGCACCGCCGCCAGCCCCCCGCGCCAGTGCGGGAGAGCTGTGTACGACCCCGCCTTCCGGGGCCTGCGCGAGGGCGCAGGGCGCGCCCATTCCCCAACCCCGACCTTTACCCTCACCGATGCCGCCGCCGCCGCCACCGCCGCCGCCAGCTCTTCCCGCCGCGCCGCCACCGCCGCCAGTCTGCTGCCGTACAGCTCCACCCTGTTTCCCACTAGCGCCATGAGGTTGAACCTGATCTCGCTGGCTGCGTACCTCTCCATCCGTTCCGCGATGTGGGGCCCCACCCGGTCCAACCAATCAGACTGTTAACAACAGTAGCAGCAGTGGCAGTAGCAGCAGTAGCAGCAGTGGCAGTAGCAGCCGTGGCAGTAGCAGCAGTGGCAGTAGCAGCAGTATGAGGGGGAGGAGGGACGGCAGGGCAGGCTGGGTGAGCGGGTGGACGGGTCCGCTGCTGCTACTGCTACTGCGGCACCCTGCCCTCCCTGTCCGGGCAATACAGCAAGGGCACCCCCTCCTCCCGCAACCTCACCGTCGTACACTCGCACAGCTCTATAGGGCCCTCCTGGAGTCCGTCCAACTCGTACAGCTTCCCCCCGATGGGAACTGCGGGTGGGTGGGCGGGTGGGTTTTCTTTTTTGTTTGTTACTGCTGTTGGAGGAGAAGGGAGTAGGAGGGGGTAGGAGGGTAGGAGGGGGTAGGGGTAGGGGAGGGCGACCTGGGAAAAACTTCCCCTCCATGACCGCCACAAACCCCCTCCTCATGGGAGTCCCCTAACACAAGCTTTAAAATAGGTCCCTTTCGGGGCGGATCCTGCGTCTCCTGGTGGCATGAAGCGAAAGCAGTTGCTGGAAGGTGGCACAAGTGGGGGGACCCTTCAAACACCGGAGTCCGGCTCAACCTTCAACCGTCCAAACAAGGCCAGGCAGTGTCGTACCCTGTCATACCGTAGCTAATGAAGTGGTACGCCTCCCCGCCCTTCTCCTCGTCCTTGTCCTCCTCCGGAACCAAGGGCTCCGGACGAGCAAAGCTGTTGTGTACTGTGCGGATGAGGTCGCTGTTGCTGATGGCAAGACCTGGCCGGCAGGCGGGGGCCCCGGTGGGGGAGGGGGGGGGGACGGCGAGACGGGAAAAGGGTGGGGAATCGGTTTCGTTCAACCTTCTTATTAAAAGTCGCCCCCGGGAGCTCAATCAGCCAATTCTACGCTAGCTAGCAGACGAGCACCTCCCCCTCCCCTCTCACACACACCTGCACACGCACACCCGCACCTGCGCCTTACCCAGTACTTCCAGGGGTGGGCGACCAATGGCGGCGGTGGTGGGTGGGTGGGTGCAATACCCCGTGAGGACGGAGCCCTCGAGGCCAAGGGGAGGCGCTTGCGGCCCCTGCTCCCTTAGCCTTCTCTTCCCGCCTCCCTCCACCCTCCCCCTTCACCCCCTCCCCCTTCCCGCGTGGAGACAGGTGTCCCAGGGGCGGCGAGCCGGCCTTCCAGCCTCCAGGGCTCCTCTACCCGCATCCTCACACCTTTCATATTGGGGTCGAAATCCGCCACGAACTCGCGGAAGTTGGACAGCTCAGTGCCCAGATCCAGACCCGGGCAGTTCAGCAGGATGGACAGAATGGCCTTAGGGGGGGGGGAGAATGGGTGCGCGTGCGCGTGTGTGTATGTGTATGTGCATGTAGGTACGTATGTATGTAAACGTGTATGTGCGTCTATGTCTCACACATACACACACATGAACCCAGGCGGCGGTGGGAGAGAGGAGGGACGGGGTGAAGGATGGTTAACTTGACATCAGTGTACGGCTGTGTACGAACAGGAAAAGGGAAGCAAGGCTGGAATGGGGAGGTTGAAGAGGGTGGGGGCCAGGCGCGGGAAGGACAGAAAGATGGGGACGAGGGGGAACGCCGCCTCGCACCCACTCCCCCCCCCACACGCCCACCCATACATACATACATACATACATACGCACCTGCGTAGCGCAGGCGTTCGTGATGACCTGCCGGGCGAAGAACACCCCCTGTGCCCCCCCTGGAGTCGTCTGCCGCTTTCCCGCCTCCTTCCTCCACTTGAACAGGAAGATCAAACCAAACACGGGACTGGGCCAGGGAGGGCGTGCGTGGGAAGAAGGCGGCAAAACGGAGGAGGCGATTCTATCACCCACTCACCGTCACGTAATGACGGAGGAATGGGCACAAGGTGCAGCAGACGCAATAGGTTCATCACCAGCTAGCTTTGTATGTATTTATGTATGTGTTTATGTATGTATTTATGTATGTATATATGTATGTATTATGTATGTATGTATGTATGTATATGTTTTGGAGGGGGGGCCTAGGGCGTTCCCCCATGCCAGTTGCCAAAACCGTGGCGTATCCCCGCCAGGAGAGAGCAAGAACCCGAAGGGATGCCGCCAGCATAGCTGCCCTTGTAGGTTGTGCTGCTGGCAGGCTGCAGGCCGACACAGCGTGCACATGGGTCCCGGCACACCTGAGCTCCTTCAGCTGGTCCAACGACCACAGCTCTTCCACCTGGACGCCCTTCACGCCAATCTGCGCGATGAGCTCCGTAAAAACCCCTGCGGCGCCGACAATAGGAAGACCCATGTCGAGGAGTGCCCCCAGATTTACGAGCGGTAAGCCACGGCCACCATAACGCGAACATAATTATTGTGATTTTGGTGGAGAGATATGTGGTGTGACCGCGGCTCTTCTTTTCGCGAGTAAACGAGCATGCTAAATGGCGCGGTGGAAGATCTAACCGCCGTGAGCAAAACGTATTCAAGGCTACACAATGTGTCTCACCAGGGTCAGATTCAATTGTTGTCCATTCCATTGTCTATAACTGTTCGTTCAAGTGCACTGTCAACTGAACGGCACCGTTAGGATGATACCTCCATTAAGGCAGAGCCAGTGAGACAAGTCAGCGTGTTAATCTTTGCTTCAGGTAGCTCAAACATTTCTTTCAAAAAGTTGGTAATGCTAACCTACTGTTTACATCTATGGGATTGACAAGTGTACGACAGCATGGAATTTTGGCAATATGCATAATCCGCCCCTCCTTTTCAAGTGTTTGTAACGTGTGCAGAAATAGCTGAAATTTAAAAGCAGCAGCTATGGCTCTCCGCGTGTTTGGCAGCTTTGCCCTTGGCAAGCTGGGCCTACAGGCTCAGATCATGCAAGCCTCTGGTGCTATTGCTGTGCACGCCTTTTCCACCGGTATGCCTATTGAAAACATTGCGTGTATATTGTGGAACTCGAAAAGCGTGCATGTTGGATAAGATTGGCGGTTGGCTCTGCTGCCTGTCTTTCATGCACAGTTGCCCAAGGTTATAAGTATGCCAAGTCACATGAGTGGGCTAAGGCTGATGGGGACATCGCCACAGTCGGCATTTCGGACCACGCACAGGTGTGGTGCCGGGCGCTTCCTCGGCCGTTCGAAGTGTGTTGGATCTGAACCCAGTAATTGCACGTTCCAGGGACAACTTGGCGATGTGGTGTACGTGGAGCTGCCTGATGTGGGAAAGGAAGTAAAGCGGGGCGAGACCTTTGGCGTCGTTGAGTCCGTCAAGGTGAGCCGCACTCCAAGTTGTCCGAAAAATATCGCTCAATGTAACGTTAACATGATTTGAAATCACCTGTATCATCCTTGTGCGTTTGATCGCTAATTGCTCCATTCGCCATCCGATAGGCTGCCAGCGATGTGTACTCGCCGGTCTCTGGCGAAGTGGTTGAGGTCAACCAGGCGCTGGTTGACAAGCCTGGGACGGTAAGCACTGGCGTTCTTGTTTATGCCAGGACCGTCATACCTTGTGTTACCCACGTCGTCGTGTTTTCCTTGCCTGTCGCATTAACGCAGGTGAACACGTCGCCTTACGAGGAGGGCTGGATCATTAAAGTTAAGATGTCGAAGAAGGGTGAGCTTGTAGGCCTCCTGAACGCGGATGAGTACGCGGCAGAGTGCGAGAAGCACTAAAGAGTCACATCGCAATAGCTCGCAGTTGTTTGCGGATTGTTGTCCCGATGGCGACACGTGCTTAGCGCGGTTCTTAGGGACGTGTCTTGCAAGTGCCTCGAGGGTTCACAGGGTGCTGCTACCCAGGCTTTGACAATTTTGACAATTTTCCCCGCCACGCTTTGGACAGCTGGTTTGGGTGTATCGCATTAGGTGGAAGCTATGCCTGGTTGTAGCTTTGAATGCTGCTGCCTTGTCCAGCTGACCCCTCAGAAAACGGACGTTGAACAGTTTGTAGGCCATTTATATACATGTTTGGCGCCGTCATGCTTGTAAGCTGTTAAATGAGTTAGGGCTTGCGGCTTTGGGTGGTTGTGGAGAGCTGCACGTGTGGATACGGCTCAGCCGGGGGGTGTTGCATGCGTTAACACCATTTTCACTGTAACTTCCAACGAAAATATTTGCCGCGACGACGTCTCGTGACGGCTGTTCCTGATCCTATTGTCCAAGCCGATGAAGGACCATTACCATGGGACCCCTTACCGCAAAGTCCCGGCACAAGTGTTTCCTCGGTTACCTCGGATTGTCTTGGAAGTCTGGCTGTAGAGTGGGCCTTAGCCGCAGCTCATATTCTAACCCGTATTTATCCAGATTCGAGGACGAGAGGAACAAGCAAAATGCGGGATGGAACAACGAAGCCCTGCGACCACGGCAATGCGTCCTGTAGCTCAGTACGGCAATGTGCAAGGACCGTTGAGCTAGCTATGCCTCCGTGTCTGATGCTCTCATAACCTGCAACAAGGAATCAGCAGTCGTTTTAAGTTTTACTTCCCACCAAGCCTTTAACCTACCTTTCAAGGCTGCATAAGAAAGACGATAATTGAGTTGAAGCGGAGCTACTGACGATTGTTTTACCATGAGTTCGCAAGCAGCTACCACGTAAGCGGTGTAAAGCTTTTATAGCAAGGCATGGTTACTCATATGTCCATGTGCCGTCCATGCGTTCGTCAGGTCAAAAGTAACCTTCAAAGTGACATTGACATCAGATCCAAAATTACCCTTCAGAGTGTAAGTCTCTTAGTATGCAGTAATTGGTCGGTTCCAAGGGCTCTTCCAAACCCGGCTTGCTGCGATGATCCAGGTTCAGCGTTCCTGAAGAGGCCCCGTTCACGGCAGTCCTTAAATTTGCTGCTGAAGAGGTACGGAATGTATTTGGTTGCGCAGAAGAGTCATTGCGTGCTGAAGTTGCTTCCTCGTGTTGCAGTTCAAAGTGCCTGCCCAAACCAGCGCAATCATCACGAACGGTGCGTTGGTTTGTTAGGGATGTGGGACGGGGACGCAGCAGCGCCTAGACCTGGGGAGCGCAGCACGGCAAAGTGATGATATGCCACCCCGCTACTTTCCCTACCCTTGACTTTGCCTGCCTCCCTCGCCGCGCAGACGGGGTCGGGATCAACCCGAAACAAACTGCGGGTAATGTGTTTCTGAAACACGGCTCTGAGCTTCGACTCATTCCTCGCGATCGAGTAGGATGCTTGTAACAGGACGTCGTCTCTCAGCCATATTACTACACCTTTGCCCAACGCCATGACTACACACACACATACACACATGTTTAATAGGCTTGCTAGCACAGCTCGGGACCATCTCTCCCCACTGATCGGGGGTGGAAAGGACAGTCTACCCGCCGTACAGCCGCTGCAACGTTACGACCTGTTCCAACGTCAAGCTGTCAACGTCCAGGCGCCCGGTCCCGTCTTCTTCCGCCGCAAGCACCACCCCCCCGGCGCCACGCGACGCGGCTGCGGCCGCTGCGTCCTCCAACCCAGCGAATAGGCGAGCCAGCGCAGGCTTGATGGAGTTGCCTAGGAGCTTGACCGCGAGGGGGAAGCGGCCTCCGGCTGTGGGTTGGGTTGCAGCGGGGGCATAGGAGGCGTGGGACGCGGTATGCGAGTGTTGTGTGTTGACGTATGGATGGATGACTTTCTGGGTCTGTGCGTTTCAAAGGAAGTTGTCGGGGCGCATGCGAGTAGGGAGGCGTGTCCGGGAGCACGCGACTTTTTGGTGTCCTTCAGGCCGAATGAGGCTCCCTGTGCTCATCGTCGGTTTTCAGTTGGACGGAGGTTCATTGGTTGGTTAAGTTTGATGAGTTTGGCGCCAATCGTGCGGTAGAAACAGTATAAACATAAAATGAGAGCGCAAACATCACATCGCATGTGTACATGTTCCTCATCCGGGCCGTTTTTGCTTTTCCAGCGCCTTTTGGTTTCTCTATTGGTCCATCTGTTGCGGAAAGGAACATCAAGTATACCAAAATACTTAGCGCGGGTGCGCGGGGTGCTTCCGTAGACTATATTCATATACAGGAGACAGAGAGGCAATGAGGTAACTTGTACGACACCTCGATGACGACTCTGAATATCCAGGACGCGCGGCTTGCGGTGTTGATGTCGTGGGTGGGTGGGTGGGTGGGCGCAAGAGAAGACGCAGGAGGGCAGTTGTGCATTGTGTGCAGTGCTGCATGAAGGGCAACCACACTTGTAAAAGTGGTTTCCCCAGAAGAAGCTGTGTTGTGTCGCACAGCTCAATCTGGGTCGTGTGCTTCCAGTAACGTTAGTAGGGTGCTACTACTGGGTCGTCATGCCGGCTGCTTGGTAGTTTAATCGGAACAGAACAGAACACGGGAGCGAGCGAAGGGATCGCAACAGTCCAACTACTCGGCCCGGGTTGCGGAGCAGGCCACGTAGGCGCCCCTCGCTTGTCCCTCGCCTGTGTTCGCTGTCGCAGTGGAATGGGAAACGAAGTGAACCGGAGCAGGCAGTCTGTGCTGCAGGTGTAAAGCTTCAGCACGCCGCCGCCCGCCTGCATTCATTAGCTGCAAGTTGACCCGCATTAAGGCAATGGAAATAAATAGACGTGTGCCGCCCTGACAGGGCCTGCGTTGTGTAGAATGGCTGCTCAATGGCTGCCCTGGCCCTCAACCCCATCGTCCCCTGGCCCTTCCGGTGAGCTGGTAGCTGGTAGCTTTGTCGTGAGTGCAACTGAGTGCACACGGTCGCCCGGGCAAAGCTACTCGGTCCATGCAGGGGGGCAGGAACGCCGTTCAGCTCCCTGACCCCGTTCACTTACTAGGCGCCAGGCGCGGCCCGCATGCGTTTCATCGCGTCCACCCCTCCTGCATATTCCGCAAGCCACCGCAACAGAGGGCTCGATCTGGGACCTCGCGCACCTCACCTACCTGATAGCACCTGGAGAAGCTGCACCACAAACGCCGCCTCCCGCAGCGCGGCACCTGAGCCGCCCTCCGCTTCTTCCGCAGCGCCCCCGTGGCCCAGCCAGCAGGCCTCCACCACGCCCAGGATTTCACGCAACACCTCGGAGCTGATTTCCACACGAAACACCATGCGCAAGGTGTCCAGCCCACAAAGGTGCAGGTAACGATACTTATCATCTGCTGTGCCCATGCGCCGCCAGTCCCTGAGCCAACGTTCGCAGCAAGCGGTGGGTCCGCGTCAGGAGCGGCCTCCGCAGCTGGCAATCTCGCGGGCTCGCTGGCCGCTCTGCACACCTGGTGAAGTCGCCCATGGTGCTGGGAGCTTCCACAGGCGCCACAGAGGGTAGTTCCATTTGGCCAGCTTGCTCCTTCACAGGTTTGCCATCAGGGCCGAAGTTCCAGCAGGGCGCCGGTCGGTCTGCAAGTCGAGGTGGACTCATGAGCGGTTGTGGGTTCGGTTGGTACTTGGAGGACTGCTCCTACCGTTTGTCCTTCTGTTCGGCGCTGTAATTGGAGTCAAGTGCGCTGTCAACACCATGTTTTTAAAGGTGTCATAGTCCACCCGTTGTGATACCGCGCGCTTCTTGGCTTCATCTATCGCCTGAGAATTATTTTTCGACATTGACAAGCGGTTAAAGCCTCTCCTTTGACGTAGCAGCATTTACGAAGTTGTTAAATTACTTGCTTTTCTTTTGAAGTCATCCCATGCTGCGTTTGCGAGCTCCTTCGAATTCTTTGCGGGGCGATCGATAAAACCTGGGCCGTCTTGCATAATTGTGCCAATCTGTCAAGCCAATGCAGTATGTCGTTGGCGTGCCCGCCACTGTGCAACCTATATAATCACGTTTGCAGAACACGTCTTAATCTACGTTGTATGCGCATGAAAAGGCGAAATCAGACGGCCCTGTACATGTATAAGAAATGTATATCAAAGCCAATGGTGCGTGTGGTGACTTAGCACCGGAGAGCAGAAATAGAGTTGGGAAAGACTAGGCAAGGGCAGCGCAGGGAGCGGTCGTTGGCAAGTGCATGTACGAGAAAGACTTCTCACACATTATGACAGGTGAAATATTAATAAAGGTGTAATGGACGTCTACGTGTGCAGTGTGGTATTATGAGGCAGTTGAAGCCAACCATATCCCATGAATGAACGTGGATGCAGCCGACCGTAGGCTGCCGACGCAATAATGCAGAATATCATGGAAGGTCCACGAAATCATGGAGGAAGGCGTACCCTTGTAAGTATTAAGCCTTGAAAGAACAACCATCCACGGTGGCCGTGTTTGTGCGACCAACTTTGTTGTACGGATGCCAGGCATGGGGCCCTTTTGCGCTGACTGAGGCCGTGGACAGGGCGGGAGGGATAATGCCAACCTTGCGGATTGCATGTTAGAAGCTCGTTTGAGAGATAGTGCAGTCCAGCTACAGATTATGTTCATGAAGCAGATAATGGGGGCGGCACAGCCATCCCACCAGTTGTTGTATGCGGAGTTGGCTGAGCTCCCCCTGCAGTATTACATGGTGAAACAGATCCTTCGTTTCTTGATCCGCCTTCAAAAGCAAGTGGGATCCAGTTCTCATGCAGTTTTACGGCAGGAGATAACCGATGCCCTGACCAACCCGGAATGGGAGGGTTGGGGAATCTCAATGTTACGACTGTTTTCTTTCTTGGAGCGCACCGCTACGGCATACACACACATCATGCCTCAGTGCAGTAATTTGCAATCCATGTTTTCCATTCTGCTCAAAGTTTCAGCAGCTTAATGCCTTTAAAACTAAGAGCAGAGCACAGAAAACGAAGTCGGTGATCGCCTCGACGCCGCGGGTTCGCCTTTCTTCCCGCGTCAGGCCCTAGCAAACGGAAGACACGCCGTGCACCCCGTATTGGGCAGAGAGCTCCTTGCTCTCTGGAGTAGCCATGGTCAAAATGCCTGTCCCCTGTGGCCTATAAGCAAGAAAACCCGGAGGGCATGCTGCTGGCTCTGACCCCAGGGTCTTCCCAGGCTGACACAATTATGAGACAGGGAAACATCAATAATATGTTTACATACCAACAAGATGACCAACACCGATTGCACAATAGCTCGAATTCTAATGGAAGCCCATAAAACGTTCTGTCGCTGCTCATGGGAAATCCTTCTCGACCTTCCTTCACTCTAGCTGCATTGAGTTTTGGCGCGTTTCTGTATGAGACCAGATATATGTGTAACTTTGTTATTAAGAGAATGAAGACAACGAAATTACTTGACATGGGCAAACATTGCTCCAGGGCGGCGGCTGCTGTGGACCGAAGGAAAAGCTTGGGGCGAACAGAAATGAATCTCTTCCACTTTTGCTCCTGAAAGGACTCAAGTGCAAAGATGGTGGGACTAGAAAAGACTTTAGAGACTTGAGCAGATATGCGCCGACTGTATGCCCGCCGACCAACCTTACTGTCTTCGCTTTGTGTTTGTGCAGTCGAAGCGCACGAAGAAGGTCGGCATCGTCGGGAAGTACGGTACTCGCTATGGTGCGAGTCTCCGTAAGGTCATTAAGAAGATGGAGGTCAGCCAACACTCCAAGTACTTCTGCCACTTCTGCGGCAAGGTGAATTCGACTGGATTGCAGCAGACAAAAGAGCTAAAGCACATCAAGCAAGTTATGAACATCGGCCGACTGCTTTGCTTGGAGGTGGTTCCATGCTGCTGGCCGCTGGGATGCGAACGTCTTTCACGCCTACAGTTTTACCATGTCTTAACCGTGGATGGATTGGGTTCAGTGAAGGTCTTGTTGGGTAGATGGGGATAACAGACATGGTTGCCAACGTGCTGACTATCTGCTCCACCTCCCATCCCCCTCCTGGCAATCCCGGCAGTTCTCCATGAAGCGCCAGGCGGTTGGCATTTGGGGCTGCAAGGCTTGCGGCAAGGTGCAGGCTGGTGGTGCATACACCCTCAAGTAAGTTGCCCTCCAATAGTTTTGGAGCCGTCCTATGGGTTTCGTCCTGGGGCGTTGTGTTGTGTGCAAGAACTTTCCCCGGAAAATTTCCCCAACGGACAAAAGCAAACTTGTGAACTGTTGCTTTCTATTGGAGTAGGCCGTGACGGTGTTAAAGTTCTGCATCCGCACAACGTCCGTCAGACAGTCCTGATCTGCCGGTTCGGGTGCACTCGGCTCTTCGATGTGGACTGCACGACTCCGCAAGATCGATTGTTTAGCGTATGTGTGTATGCCAAACCGCTCCCAGAACCTATCACTCGTTTGCAAGGGGTTTGCGCCAGCCTGTGCGCCATTGTACTTTGATGCCACCGCCAGCATCTGGTGTAGCTCCTTTCGTCAGTGCCTGACGTACTGCCTCCCCTCTCGGATCTGTGCCGTCTGATTTGCAGCACTGCCTCTTCGGTGACCGTCCGGTCTACGATCCGCCGTCTTCGTGAGCAGGTTGAGGCCTAAGCGGGTGCTGGCTTCATGTGTTGTAACATGAAAGCGAACTCGCCCTTGCTCCCTGACCCCATCCCCAAGAAGCATGATTGCTGTACGGAATGGTTCTAGTGCTGCAGACAGGCAGATTTACCGCGTACAGTGTGATATTTGTGCCTCGGTGGGATGTTGATGTCAGCGCTTGACAGCTGTGGACAAACGTTAAGGCATCCTGCACATGTCTTTTGCTGGAAGGAAGCAAGGATAGAAACATGGATTAGCAGCTATTAAGGGCAATCGCTTGCTTGCTTGCTGTTCTAGTAGAGGTCAAGAACGCTGAATTGCAGTGCAGGCGTGTCCAATGGTTCCCTCGCGAAAGCCACAAAATTGGCCAAGGCAGAACACTATGGGGAAAATCTGTAACATCAAGTGCGATGGAAATCCAAACAGGCGCACATTATCAGCACGGACTCGTCTTCCTAGCATTCCCGATTCAACCAGGGGTTCTGTGGATTTCATCCGGTCATGCTTTCGATGTTGTCCTGGGCATCTTGCCGAGGTGGTCGGGGTCCACTTGTGTTTTCACTTGTCACAGTTGCCCACGCGAATGCGGGTGCCTGGTTTATTTTTACGGCTTTCCAGTATTGCCATCACTTACAGGGATATATTGTTGAGGCATCGAACCCATTGTTGCTCCGTCTTACGGGGAGGCAAGGTCAGCACGACAGGTTGGGTCCTTGGTCGTCCCCTTGGTTGCCCCCTGGAAGCAATACAGTTATGCAGGACATCAATTCTATGCGGTACACATAATACAAACTTTTCGTGAAGCGAAACAGCGTGTGCTCCAGGAGTCTTGTGGTGCGTTGATAGTGCAAGGATGTCGCCTAGGAGCTTGGAAGCATGATTGGATGATGTGCGTGATCCATGCACACTAACATAGAGATTGTGACGATGAGTATGTTTATTGGGATTAAAAGTCAATCCTTGAGTTCCAGCCGGTACGGTTAGTGTTACAGTGCCAACGGTGTTGCAACTGGAATTCAACTGATGCACCGATACCATGCAGCTCCCAAACGCGTCTTACCGCGACATGGTGCGTTATGCTCTCTTCTTGGATAGCCGATGGGTTCTTACCTGTGGCGTTCTCTCGAAATGATGCTTCACCCGCAATGCCTTGTATTATCGTCCCGATTGACCTAGAAGACGACGAAAAACTGAACTCCCGAGCACCAAGTAAAATCCTCGAGGAGACTCATGCTGGTCCCAGCGTTTCAGTTTCACCTCTCCGGTGCGAACATTGCACATGTTTGACGCGGAGCTTTGTGCCAACGGTCCTGCTTAAATGCTTTCCTTGCGTGGTGTACAGAGAAAATCCAAAGGGCGCAGGCGGCAATCGGCAGGTTTGATGGAAAGGTTCCCGCGTTGGCTTGTGCGACCGTGGGCGGAAAGGTCTTCCTCCATCAGCCACATCAGCATGGAGGCAATGACAACCAGATATCATACTTGAATATAAATAAACAAATCTCAGCGGTAGTCGCGGGCAGGCTACTAGGCAGCAAGGATGTCCTGCTGGTCGGAACGCCCAGCAACCTGCAGTGCTATGATGTGGACCTGAACAGGGACCTTTTCTACAAGGACGTGCAGGATGGGGTGAACGTATGCATTGTGGGCCAGTTCGGGTCCGTGGACACACCCCTGGCTTTGATCGGGGGAAATTGTTCCATCCAGGTGCGTCCGCAAGCGCATCTCGACAGCACACATGTAACCCCCTACCCTCGTGCTGCACCACGAGACGCAAAGGGCCGCTCATGTGGATGTGTGGCGACCTGAAGGGAAAATGGGAGGGAGGGAGGTAGGGAGTTTAAGGCTGCGGCAAATGGGGGAACTATCGAGAACGTAACCGACACCGAGGGCTGACGAACCCGCGGCCCACACCGTGCGGGCTTCACAGCCCTACCCACCACCTCAACACGCAACCTTCCCGCAAGCCTCACCCCCACCCTCTTCCCCTCATTCCCCTGCCAGGGCTTTTCCGCCGATGGCATGGAGAAGTTTTGGACGGTCACAGGCGACAACGTGTCCGCCATGGCGTTCTGCGACGTGGACCAGGACGGCCGTCACGAGCTGCTGGTAAGTGAGGCAGTGAATGAATGTATGTATGAATGAATGAGGGAACGAGCCGGGAAATCCTCCGGCAGCGGCGAACGGGGGAACCATGTGGGTCAGGCCCCCTCCGCGACCTCCACCTCAGGGAATTCGGCAATGATCACCTCCCGCTCCAGGCGGTTGAGAGGCTGGAAGGATAGAGGCGAGGAAGTTTCGGAACGGGATCAGGAAATGGGCGGGGAAGACGAAGACTGGGGCGGAGAGCGTGCTGAGGCGGAGGCGCGTGAAGCAGCTCTGTTTTGAGTGTTTGGGTGTTTGGGTGAGGCTGTTGGTGGGCAAGGCAAGGCAAGGAAACTCGGGGGAAAGCAACAGGGGGAGCGAGGGGTCAGCCGTGTGAAGTTGAGGCGACGTGTGGGGTGTGTGTGTGTGGGTCTTGTCCCGCCACCCTGAACGGCTTCTGGGGCCGGGGCCGTACTAGTTGCTGTTGTTGTTGCGCATCGCGGTGGCGCCTGCGGGACACCGGGGGAAAGACCATTTAAACAGGGTCACACAGACACACCGAGACACACACACACACAGACACACACACATACACAGACATACACAGACATACACAGACATACACAGACACACACACACAGACACACAGACACAGAGGCAGGGATATAGAGACAAGAGGGCATATCGTGGCTAGGTGATCTGGGTCATTTGGAGTCTGCTCCAAGCGATCCCACATCCCGCACCAGCGAGTGTTGAGATGGTGCCCTGCCCTGGGGGGGGGATATGAGGGGTCTTGAGGAGCTGGTACCCCTATTGCGGACCCGTTGCTCGTTACGTTGCGCAGGTGGGCTCCGATGACTTCGACGTGCGCATCTTCTGCGGCGAGGACGTGATCGCGGAGGTGCCCGAGGCGGACCAGTTCGTGGCGCTGGCTGCGGTGCTGGGGCCGCAGTTCGGGTATGCGCTGGTCAACGGCACCATTGGACTGTACAACAGGTGGGCTTGGTGGTGGGGGGGGGGCGGGGGTGTGGAGCGGGTTGGAGGGCTCCTGGGGGGGTGTCCCCGGAGGAACCACTGACGAATGAAGCAGTAGTGGTACCCGAGATTGATACCAGAGGATAGAGTCCAGGAGGAGGAGAGACACAAAGGCGGCATCAGGAATATTTAAAAAATCACTGACCAGGCGGGCTACGAAACGCGACGCAGCCTGTCAGCAGCATCAGGGGACAGCATCACCGCCGGCAACGGAGTCATCTGGCCCATCTGGCCGTCACTACTCACCACAACAAGTGCCATGCCATGCATACATGTTCCGCGCCGAGTGCGCCACGCCCAAGGCTCTATGTCCCCCCCCCGTCAGTCCTGCTTACGGTACACTCTTTACTTGGCAGCAGCTCCCCTCACCGATCCTACACAAAACACACTGCCCCCCGGCCCCTCCCCCACTTTTCCCGGCTAGGCTGGACCGGGTGTGGCGTGTCAAGTCGAAACACAGCGTGTGCGCCATTGCGTCGTACGATCTGGACGGGGACGGAGTTCCGGAGCTCATTAGCGGCTGGGGCAACGGCAGGGTACGGTATGGTGGGAAAGGGGGGCAGTGAACGAAGGGGGCCACCCACCCCCCTTCTCCCCCTTCTACACGTTACTTGCACCTACGTGCCCAGGTGTATGCCTTGCTCTTAACTTGGTCGAGTATATTAAGTATGATACGGTTTACTATCCTTCCCTTCCCCCAACCTGTGTTACACGTTTCAAGTTGTGGAAACCCTTTTGCTTCCTCCTCCCTTCCTCCTGTCCTTCCCCCCATCCTCCACCTGTAGATAGTTCATCCCCTGTCTTGTGCAAATACCCTTTCCCCCTCCCACCCTCCCCTCCTCCCCTCCTCCCCTCCCCCCCCCTTCTGTCGGTTGCTACTATCTTGC